AAATGCACAAAGTGGAGACAGAGGAGTTCATGACAGCAGCTGCTACATTTGAGATGCTAGAACCATTTTAAAATGATTTTACTTTGACTGGTTTTCTATACCTATAAATAAATCGCCTTCCTATCCCAATAGCCCTGGCCACATTAAACAGCTTTTAATTATTATGAAGTGAAGGCAAAAGGTCAGCGTGCTGGAGTCGGACACAAGTCATTCCTAACACCAGCATGGCTCTGATATGGGCTTCCACTGTGCCAGGACTGTAATGTACAAATATGGACATCCCCCAAGAACACATTATTCCAGAAGAATTTAAATCGCCACCCGTACACTGCAACCACACTTGAGAGCCCTATTCTAGGATGACAGGAACTCTACCTTCTGGGCTAGACTGGATTCTTTCTAAAAACCATTAAATCTTTTGAGTAGCAAATAAAGGCAAGCTAGCCAGCTAGGTAATTCTTGATGTTACAATAACAACTGAAGCTATAAAACAAAGAGGCTGAGGTCTTATAGAGCACCTCCAGGCTAGCTGCTCAAACAGACCCACCCCAGGACCCCTGGATTCAGTGCTGCCCCTGCTTTCTGAACCCCCTTTTTAAATGTTAAGAGTCCTTTTCTTTTACAGAGTTAAAGGGCAATTTAAACAGGTCTTTCCTTTAACAGCCCACTGTAGAATGGCCCATCTGAATACCCGTTCAAATCAGGATTGAGTTTTAATGAACCATTCAAAGCACCATTTCATAACTGTTCTGTTACTGTTTCTAAGCTCTCCCTCTAAATCTGCTGCCCAATAGTGTAACCACTGAATAGATACCACCATATAAATTTAAATTAAATTCAAGTTAATTACAATTAAGTCAAATTAAAGAAGAAAAGCAAGTTAGATTTCACCAAATGAAGAACTTTTGTTCTTAGAAAAACAAGGTCAAAGAAATAAAAACACTGATCACAGACACAAAGAAAATATTTCGAAAATCACATACCCAGTAAAGCATTTGACACCAGAATGCACAATGCTCAAACCTCAGTAACATAAAAGCTAGCAACCCAACGAAAGCTTCCAAGGTACTTAAACAGAGAATTCAGTGGAGGTAATGTGTGGATGGTAAGCACATGAGAAGACAAGCAAGATCACCGGGGATGTGCAAATCCAGATGAAGAGGTACCGCTACGTCACGCCCTCTAGGATGACTGTAAGCCAAAGAGAGATGGTAACAGGTGCTGGTGAGCATGGGAACCGGGCCACCCTACACTGCTACTGGAGCTATAAAATCACTTCAGAATAAGGCAACACATTTCTCAGAGTCAAGGATATGGCTAAGGATGACCAGTCTATCCATGCCTAAACATTTACCCCAAAGAAAGCACAGATCTGTGCAGAGCTGTGAAGGTTCTCGCCAGCTTCGCTTGTAAGAGCCCCAAAGCAGAAGCACTCTATGTGCCAGGTGAATGGTAAGTGCACCACAGACGGATCATCCCAAGTGCCCAACCCTGCCGTCCAAAGCTGCTTCAGACTCTGAAACTTTCTGATTGCTGATATAAGGCCCAGTAAGAACGTTCCATGCCACCATCTCCCGTGATGGGTTGGGGTCCAAGTACAGATGCACTGAAAACAATGGACAAAATTATCTTTAGATTATGCATGTAAGGGACGTGAATGAATTTTGTATTGAGATGATGCCACCCCCAAGGTATCTCATTTTGGATAACCACATAATCCAAAATCTAAGACCTATAGAATCTGGAACTTCCAAGTTAAGAAGACCAATCTTTACAACTCAGCAACGAAAGGCACTAACACATACTAATAAGCATGGGTGGATATAAAAATTATATCTAGTGAAAGAATGGCAAAAACGAACATAAAAGGCAGAGTTCACTTATGTAAGCTGAAGATGCATACTTAATCTATGACATAAAGCATGTGGGTGATTTCTTGGGAATATGCACATTACCTACGTGCATTCATACATCAAACCTTAGACTTATACATTCTAAATATGTGAGACTATTGTGTAACAGTTAAACTTCAAGGGGGCTGCTGAAACCTTCAGTGTACTGCCACATTTCAGGAGCTGAACAGGCGCACGTGGTTACTGGCTACTGCACTAGACAGTGAAGTCCAAGCCTCATCACCTGACCCAAAGGCACTGATCCAGAGCAGGGGGCAGGCAACTACAGAGCATGTGCATTTTGTCATTATTGCATGTGTGTGAATATGCACACGTGTGTGCTATGTGTGTAGAGGCCAGAGAACAGCTTTGTGTAATCAGTTCTCTCTGTCCACCTTAACGTGGGTTCTGGGGGTCAAACTTGGGTTTCCAGGCTTGCTCAGCAAGGCCTTGGTCTGATGAGCCATTTCACTGGCCTCCACTGCATGTTTTTATAAATAAAATTCTACTGGAGCACAGTCAAGCCCACTCACACATGTACTGTCTGTGCGGCCTTGGAGCTATAGTGGAGGAATCAGGCAGAGGCCATAAGGCCTGCAAACCTACATTTTTTACTACCTGCGTCTGTAAGTCTTGGTGATGCTTCTCGAAAAGACAAGCCCTAAGTCAGGGGCCACACTGCTCCTGGTCTTTGGTTTATACAACCCAAGGTACGTTTATGAAACAACTAATGCACAGCAGGCCCCATTCCTGTTTGAAGACACAGTTGAGGGTGTGTGCAGGTGATGGAAAGTAGCAAGTAGATGAGAAAATGCCAACGACAACGCTGAGGCAACCAATAAAGCAGCAGGCACAGGGCATGTCTGAGGTGGCTTCCGTTTACACGGTAAGGACAGAGACACCTCTAAGAAGACCCAAGATTTGCACAACGTGAAAAATACCAGCTCTGGGGGCAGACAGGACGAGAATAACACCAATGCCTAGAAACAGGGATGATTTTGACTTGTTGTATGAAAATGAAGGGCCATGAAGCTGAAGAACATACAAGGGGGGTGGAGAGGGTAAAGGAATGGGAGAAGCAAAGGAGACCAAGGAAAAGTGCCTGGGTTTTACTATGCATACAAAATGAATCTCCAGAACTGAAAGCAAATGAAAAAAAATTAAAAAAAAAAAAGAAAAAAAGAAAAAGCCGTCCTGGCACTGCTAAATGCAGAATGGGTCACAGAAAGACAAGAAAGGCATCAGAGGGAGAGTTTCTGCAAAGGCCCAAGTTAGAGATGGCTATAGGGGAGCCTGGACTGCAATGGCAGCGGTGGCGAGGGAGCTGAGGCATTCCAGACACTTAGGAAGGGTACTAGCTCTTTTGATGGATTGCCTGCTGCAGAGTGAGGAAAGGTGTTGAAAGTCCATCCTGGATTATGGGCCTGAGTAGCCCAGACACGGTGTTGTGAATTGCAAACACGGGAAAATGTTACCCCAAGTGCTAACATTACTGTGTCCATGTGCCATCATTCATTCAGTTTTCTCAACAGTCTTGGAGGAGAGATTGATGTGGCAATGTACTAGCCTGTTGTGTTTTATAACGAAGGACACCATCGTAGAGATAGTGGCTGTGCTGAGAGAAAAAGAGCGAAGGGAAAGGGCACAGGGACCCTTTAGTCACCGGACAAGGGCAGCTTGAAAATGATGAAGCTACTCTTTAATGCTCCCTCCCCTCTGCCCCTTGCTAGCATACATAATCAGCCTCGGGGGAGGAGCCACACTCTTTAAGAAAACAAATGCTTGATTCTTTCCAATTCCTTAGGTTTACAAAACAAAAACGCTTTAAATCTATGGCAACTGCTTCATGTTCATTTACCATTCTAAATTAGGACTGACATCCTGACAATTTCACATTTTATTTGGAAAAAACTGGATTTTACACACTACACACACACACACACACACACACACACACCCTCCATCTCTGAAGGGAGAAAATCCACAAGGACAAAAATCAGCCTCCATACATCAAAGGCTGAGCCGCCGCTACTGTCCATACATCAAGTTCACAGACATCCATAGACAGCTCTGCGACAGGTCCAAGGTCCTTGGGAGCTCACATACATTTCTATACTGATGTCACCTCTCTTCTTTGACCTCCAGCCAACCTACCATCCCAGCGGGAAGATTAATGAAAGGCCATAAAATCTGGACATGCCGGGAGCCAGTGTATGCCCTTCAGTCTCTAATTATAGCAATGCTATGTTTTCACGTTATTTGTTAGAATAGAGCTAGAATGATCTCTCATCCCAACTTGTTTCCAGAGAAGCTGGGAAAGGCAGCACCACCATCGTAAGGAACAAATATGGCCAAATATCGGAAGGTTTTGTGCTGGAGGAAGGGGTGCGGGGAAGCAGACGTGGCTATAGGAACACCCAAATCAATTTCCAGGAGCCCACGAGCTTGCGGCCCACGTGCACTTGGTCAGGGACCTATTGCAGACACATGACCTCCATCGAAATCCTCCAGCCATAGCGCGGACCAGCCAGTCCCAGGCAAAAGCTCCAGTAGTTGCCCTCACCGCCTCTCCGGGTGACGGGGAACAAGGGCGACGCCCCCACAAGCTCACATAGGGTCCCATCTCAGGAGATGGCTCTGGGCCAAGCCCCTCACGCCCCGCTGAGACCTCCAGAAATTGCCCACCCAGCTGGTATCCAGCCTAGATCTAGGCCGAGCCGAACCTCCCGGGTCCCGCAGTGTGGCCCACGACACCAATCTCTGACACCCCCCGGAGGCCCGGGCTGGGTGCATCGTTCCCCACCCCGGGCCGCCTACTTTCCTCGGGGTGTCTGGTCAAGGCCACCTTGAGGGCCGGCAGGAAGGCACACCCCGGGTCAGAGTTGGAGAGGCAAGGGGCTAGTTCGAAACCGGTTCCCACCGGAGAAGACAGCAAGAGGGGTGTGTGTGTGTGTGTGTGTGTGTGTGTGTGTGTGTGTGTGTGTGTGTGTGTGTTGGGGGGGGCTCCAGGAGGTGACCACCCCTCCAGCCCCGCGCAGGGGCCTTTCGGCGCCAGGCACCCGTGCAAGGCGCGCGCTCGTGGGGCTCCCCGCTCGGCGGCGTCCTCACCTTTTTGGTGCCAGGGCCTCCCGCGAGGCGAGACATCCCCGTCAGCGAGGAGGAGCGCCCCGGCTGCCCCCCTAGCGCATCCTGCTGCGGAGACATCGCTTCCATGAAGAAGATCTGCAAGCAACCCCAAGCCCAGGACCGGGTGTCTGCTGGCGCGCTGCGCTCAGGCCAGACGCCGAGCTGCGGCTGCGGGCGGCGCGCCTCCCGTCGGGGCCATGGACCGCCGCCCGCCCGCCCGCCCGCTCGCTCGCTCGCCCGCCCGCCCGCGCCGCGCTCGCCGCGCTCTCCCGC